GATGAGCACTTTATTATCTAAGCAGACAGACAGACAGACAGACAGAGATTATTAAAAATTGGGCTATGGCGCTGTAAACAGGATGCTATTGGCCTATAGATCAGTGAAAGATAATAAACTAAAACACTACAATTCAGTATTTGAATCGAAAACTTGTAGACATTTCATTCATATTTCAAATCTAACCTGTTATGGTAAAAATGGTTGATAAGTATTTAATTCGTTTAAAAGAGTTTTGGAATCATAAGTTGTCCTAGCATTACTATTACTATTATGTCTTCAAATAAATCAGCAGACTATTTTCTGATATTATTTCATTTTCAATAACAATCGTTCATTACCTTAATTGGCAGTACATTGGCTTAGCATATTAATATTAATTTAAGGTCTGTATATATACTCGTAGTTAAGAATGGCGAGTTGTTTGGTTTTCTGTTTGTACTGAAGATGGGTTGAAGAGTACCGGTACACTTAAAACATGTTTACCATTAAATAATTAAATCCTTAGTTCTTTTCTTAAAATGTGTTGTATTTTTCATCAACTTACGTCCGTTTGGGTCTATTATCAAGGAGTTTAGTTCGAAAGATCTATCTATTTGTTTACTCAGGAAGTACGAGAATAATATTCTTACCTTTCAACAAAGCTGAACTGGATTATAATTTCTTACATAATTTCCAGGCCCGTATCCGGGGGGGGGGGGTTATGGTTCGGGAGACCCCACCCCCCTTTTTTTTTTAGCAAACCCCCTCTTTTCTGGCAAACCCCCTCTTCAAATCTCCCAAATAAGTCCTCCAACCCAACTTATGCATTGCAGACCCACCCAGACATAGGCGTTTTCAAACATATCTGCTTTTATCTATAAAGCACAAATATCCTTGCTTTGGGGGTTTCGCCGACCCCACCGGGGCTTCGACCGTGGACCTCACGCAAAGAAAACCCCCTCTTGGAAGAACCTGGCTACGGGCCTGATTTCATTTTCTATCGTGCCTTTCATGCCATGGGAAGGTTAGATAAGTACATCGGAAGTAGCAACGTACCAGAAAAACCCACAGCTTGCCATATAGTTCTATTGTGACATCGAATGTCACAAGCTCAATACATTATTTTAATATGCTATAACCTCGCTTCCGCTAGTTTCTGAAAAGACCATTATTAAAATTTCACACCGAATGAAAATGTTGATGGTATTAGGTAGGACAACTCGGTTTTTTTTTAATGGACCTATTAGGCATGGGCCTAATAACTTTATATTGTGGGTTACTGAAATGTATTCAGAGGTCAGGAGATACATATCCCCCTTGAAGCTACCAAGTTTTACCTTTTTCATTTTGGCAATATCAATCTCTTACAAATGTCTCTTACTAAAATTATTAAAATTTCAATTCATATCAATGTTATGTATTGAAATAAGCGCTACTCACTTATCTATTCTGAAAATGTTGTGTGCCCCACCATCACCCCTACCCCAAACCGTTAGAAAAATTCTGGATCCGCCACCGTTTGCAGCTAGCGGTGAGTGATTTTGACACCCCTGGATTCCCCACTGCTGTAATAGGTACCAAACACGTGATGCATTAGCTGGCGAATATTTGAACACGGGCACATAATATGTCTTGTTATTATAGTAGCACTATCATCATAGTAGGCCTATAACAATAGGCCTATAATACAGTGGTATTATCAAATAGGCCTAATCTTTAAATATCTGACTTGGCAATATCAATTTTGTACTGGAAGAAAAATACATTTTGGTAAAAATATAGCCCATTTAGGGAAAGAAAGGTTAAACAATTATTAATCTAGATAAAATTACTAGTAAAGGTAAGATACAGGTACCTATACTAATTTAGGTTTTCTTGGAAATACCGGAAGTTAATGACCAACGAGACATCAAACTTACTTTGTGTGTAAGCTTCCTACCAGGATCAATAAACCAGCAATTGAGTTTGAGTTTCTTCATTTAGTAAACAAGGTCATTCAATTTTACAAGGTCATTCAATTTTACAAAAACAAACATAAAAATTGATTAAAAGATCCATACATACAACATTCATCTAAAATTGCGCAATGACCAGACATTGATTACAAGGAATAGGCCTACCAAGAAAAGTTACCTTATTCCCACTCCGGGGACCAGTAAAAACAATAAACCGCAAAATTGCGCAAAAAACAAAGAAAAACAAAAACCTAAAAAGCTACCAGAAAATCATTAAAAGCTGAATCATTAAAATCACTGTTGCAATTGTTACAATTTACATCAAAATTGCTTAAAAATATTATTATTATTATTATACTATATTTTTTTTAATGAACATAAATAAATAATCATCAATTCCAGGTAGAGATGTTGAGAGACAAAAAGTGAGGGTCTTCTCAATTTCAGATTTATTTCAAAACATCATAACTAAAACTTTGTTGTATTAAAATTGATACCGTACCGTAAATTCTCGAATAAGCGCCGTGGCGCTTGTAAATTTTTTGGAGGCTTCAGAGCGGCGCTTATTCGAGAGTAGCGAAATATTTCCATGGGCGTTCCCATCTCACGTATAGTATTCCCGTAGTTCAGTAGGACTATCATAGGTCCTACATCATCGTAAATAAACGTTTATAAAGAAATTCTTTTCTTTTTCGTGTTATTTATTAATTTTAACACTTATACATTGTATTGAAAACCCTGTTCTCAGTGTTTCATTCCACACATAGTAATAATATACTCTCGATGCGCCGCGGCGCTTATTCGAGAGCGGCGCTTAGCTAAAAAAAAAAAAAATAGATCTGGTGCAGTGCTTATTTCGAGCATTTACGGTATATCATGCATTACATGATTTGAAATGTTGATAATGCAAAATCTTGATTGATGAATAATTAACTAAATTATTTATTTTGAATAACGATTAATGGTGCATGCAAGCCATAGAAAATCAATAAATGAATTGCTCATTTGCAGTGTATAATTAAAATCCTCACATAATTAAAATCCAATGAGGCCAGATGTGGCTCAAGGAATTTGCCAACAGGGCGTCCGAAAAATCCAATTGGGGCGTCCGAACCTGAGGGGCCGACTAGAGACTCGGCCATGGTCCCGGAATTAAAACCTCTTGTAACGTCCACGGGAGAGTATTTCATGGCTTAGTACGGCGCGAATTGTTCTTTTAGACCACAATACAGTATCTGTTGGGGATTTGCAATCAAAATGACGTTATTTGGATAGGCAAATTAATATTTTTGGTCCGACGACCTCATCGTGGCGTCGGACAACAGGGATCCATACCTCCGACGGGAAAGTGATGCCCTTCCCCTCCCACAACCAGCCAATTCGAGGATGCGTGCGTCTGTTAGTAGTGGAGAAATATATAAATTTTTGATATACTTTTTGTAGTTACATATACAAAGTAAGCAAATCAAAATATCCCTTTATTGAGTATTCAAGTTTAATAGTACATTATATAGAGATTATAGGTCTATCATTAACACATGATTAAAAGAAGCACCCAAAAATATACGACCAACAAATTCAGATCCAATGACGACTTAAATCTAACTTCAAATTTCATAATATATTTCATATTAAATGACATCTTTGTTTGATGCAAGTAAACGTTAAGTTGGTTAATTGTTTTACATCAGTCACTTGGTATATCATTATTAACAAGTGTATTAACCTATCAAGGAACTTGTTTTGAAAACTGTTCAGCTGTGGCACCAAGATGGTATATTTCCGTTGATTTCCAAGTAGGATATAATATCCTCTAATTATTGAATATTATGCAATAAATATACAGTAAAACCTCGAATTGGAGCAATGGGCTTCCTTTGTTTGTGAACTTTGGATGGGCTTCTTTTCGAGGCTACTTTTGCAAAGTAAAGAGGGGTTGGGGGGGGGGAATCCTGCTATCTTGAAAAGAAGGGTGGGCTTCATTTCGAGGCTGATTTTGCAAACTAAAGAGGGGGCTTCAATTCCAGATGGGCTTCAATTCGAAGTTTTACGGTATAGGCCAAGTAACAATAAGATACGCAGTAACAACTTCCGGGACTTAACATGTTATATGTCAGATTGAGAAAAAATGACTTCTGGATGATCAAATAGCAAAATGGGTGATCAAAACATTCTATAAATTTAGTTTGAGAATGATAAATCATGTACTGAAAGTTTGGAGACACAATAAATCATATATTAATATATAACAGATATTTGGAATTAAAAATGAAACCTTACAAGAGGGCTGCTTCAAATGTTGCACCCATTTGCCTCAGAAACTGATAAGCTTATCCCCCTCCTCCATTTTGCTTCAGAAACCCCATAACCACTCCGCACGTCAAGAATACAAGCTCGCTTCCCTTGCCAAGTCCCTTCAGAAGCCCACCTCACTCCAAAATTTAGTCTACCGCTTATGGAATAAGGACTAACGACAAACTAATATGTAGGCCTAAAAAATCCAACTTGAGTATCTTTTAATTGTCATAGAAACATCATCATCATGCACTCGTACGATCTCCATAAAACGTTATACATACCATTCTTTATGTTTCTAGCAATAAAACAATATATTATCTTATCAGCTTTTATACATGACATATGCCTGTATAAAAGCAAAAAGAAAAAAAGGAAAAAAAAAACCCAAAGAACAGTTGCATAACAAAGAGGTCAGGGCCCATGGATAAGGCTTCTTCAGATCCCTTTACGCCAGTGATGCCCGACCTGGGAAAAATATTTGGGATCCAGTACACTTTTAAACAAATTTTTAACCTTTGCTTTAGACGTTATTTGTAGTATCATTTAGGTGCCTTATCAACTGCAATACCTTTGACATAGGCATAGACTTCGTTCACTGTAAATTGTTTTAACTGGCATTACTGTATATTTTAATTCAAATATTTTATTGCTGATCTGTTAGAATCTTTTTATATTTGTTTTTATGTATGCTTTATGTAAAGATGTTTAGTGAGCCACTTGACAGTGAACATCTTGTTTGTATGTTTTATCTTCTATTGCTTTTACCTGAAGTTAAAAATGGTTCAACTTTTGTCGCATTGCACTGAAAGTCATGAAAGAAATTCTGACTTCTAATTGCAGCTTACATGAACTTGTGGCTCTGTTAGAGGAAGCATGATATTCATAGTTGCAACGGTTTCCTTCTAAAAATTGGTTGATGATGTGACTGCAGTGTGTGGTAACTTGTTCCAAATACATAATGAGTAATGTTGCACTTGGCACCCCCCAGCCCCCAATCACTATTTTGATTTTCTACTGTATAATACAAACTACTGTAATTTTCCCCTGTTTTTTAAATGCTGAATGAACAAGATTATAAACTTTCAAGTAATATTCACTTTGTACAATATAGCTCATACTTTTTATATTTCTTTTACATCAAGGATGGTGTGAAATGATATTGCACATATATCCAGCTTATTGGTCCACACATGGAAATGTTGCTGTGGTCACCAGGCCTGAGTTGTGCCCTGAACATGTATCTATTTAACCTCGCTCACAAATCACCTCAATGACCTGAAAAGATATAAAGCAAATGAAATATTTTTTTAATTTAAAAACTAATAAAAGTTAGGATAATATGATGACAATAGGGAAATTGTTATTATTTGTAGTGAGTATATACAACAGTGGCTCCAAATATTTGCCAACAAGGGGTACTACATGTCCAATGGAGGGGTCAGAGCCAAGGGGCCCACTAGAGCCTTAGTTGGGGCTCCGAACAAAAAATCCCTGGTAAGCTTCATGGAGAGCGTTTATGGCTTAGTAATGATCAAAATTGTGTTTTAGATAAGGAATTGGCAATAAAAATAACGTTACTTGGATAGGCAAATTACTATTTTAAAAATTATTTGAAGACCTTGTCGTGGCGTCAGACGACAGAGGACCAGGCCTGTCCAGCAGGAGGTCCGAACCAAAGGGCCCACTAGAGCCTCAGTCAGGGTCCCCGAATTATATTTTTGGTGAAAGTAAACCAATGAAGTGCACCGTCACTGCAACATAAGCTAAAGATGAAATGATCAATCTTGCATTTTCATAAAGTTGAAGGGTCATACAACTGGCTATATTTAGTCAACCTACAGAATATTTTGCTATAAACTCTATAGCTCTAAATTATCAAGAAACAAATTTATTAATATTTTGGAATAAACTATATAATAATAATAATAAAAACCTATATCACGTTGTAGACACATGCTCCCCCAAGAGACTATTTTTTATCTTTCTTATTTCTGATATTTCCTCGAATTAATTTAATAAATGAAACCTTTCTAAGAATGATGTAATATTGCAACATTTTAATCAGTTATACTAATATAGTCTGATGTAATCTTGCATGCGATTGCAAATGGCTATTTTAATGCATATGATGAATGTAGGTGAAAGTAATAATGACAAAAAAAAAATTGGAAAAAGAACAACAAAATGTAATTTGCACTAAAATAATTTATTTGTAGTGCTGAAATAACATAACTTTTCATTAATGAGATTCTAACTTCTGATTAGCCAGGCTACTACTCAAGGTGACAGCCCCCTCACCCCAATTTGTTTAAGTTTTAGAACAACAAAAAGTACTAATTCAATATGTAAATAGAAAAAATATGATGGGTGGTTTGATTGAGATGTAGGCTATGTTCTCACATGGCTAACGGTTAGCAGGATACGGATCTGCTAACCGTTAACTGCTGTGCGTCCATACGAGAAAATCCCGATCCAGATACCAAAAATATGATGATCGAATCACTGGCCTATAAGAAACTGAAAACGTGTACGTGTGATTGGTTGATGATAAAAACGCGCTCAACTTGCTAACCGATAGCGCCTGCTAACCGTTAGCGGTATCCGGATACCGCTAACGGTTAGCACTAACCGATCCGGCGTTCTCATGCAGGTGCTAACGGTTAGCGCTAACAGTTAGCTCCTGATCCGGATACTAGGGCTCTCGTGAGAACCAGGCTATTGCTTATCTCTTGGTCAATGACCAGTGACCAGCAAGCTGCGTAAGAGCCAGAAACTCACTTCGTCGTTCGACGGTCGTACGACCATCAAATACAACTCCGCTTCCAGTGAGTGTTAGATGACGTAACACCATTTTCTGATTATCAGGGGCAGTCTGAATCGCGTCGGCCGACGAGTGTTGGACAGGGTAAGTGCCCAGCATAAGTTGCACGGTCATCACAGAGCTAGCTAACTAAATTTTATAAAATTTGGGTATTACAGTAAAATTAAATGCAAGCTGCTTTTCATTAATGATTATTCTTTAATTATGATTGCTTGATATCTGGACTAGGAACAGATTTTTGATGGATATGAATTAAACATAAATTTGAAATATGGGCCCAATATGGGTGGTTATTTGAATAATTAAATTCAAATATCACATTGAAATGTCATAAGCCACTGAGTAAAAGTGGGCCTTTAGCAACATTTTAATATATTGGTAGCTAAAATAAAATAAACAAAGTGAAAGTATTAAATGTCAAATGAATTAGCTGGCCATGTGATCACAACAGTTATGACTAATAATAACAGAAGTCACAGTAAACAATGCCAAACAATTATTACTGTTTGTTGACGATGCCAAAATAATATTATTACTGTATATGTAAATAATCATAATGGTTGTTTTATTAATTATTTCCATTTTATTTTTCTGCTTTTCATTTTTCCATTTCTTTATTTTGTTTATTTATTGTTTGAACGTTTGAATGGTGAATTAATCATATATCAAATTCTTGCAGTACACGATGTAGATTGTTCTGAAAATAACTGTTTTGTCAATGTGTTGACGTCATTAGGAGAATAATAACCGCAGAGAGTCTAAATAGGGAAATACTTATATGAATGGAAAGTGAGGCTTGCTGCTGATTGGTGGAAAAATAATCAATAGATGAGACTAGCTGTAAAAGATAAAATTTGATGTAAAAATAAAATTTGCCTATTTATCTGTTAACTCATATTGTTTTTATATATTTATTGTTTCATTGTGAAAGCAGGGAGCAACTATTAGAGGACCTTTTGAGGCAAATGTTTGTGACCACTAAATAAATAATAAATAAATTTAATTCATATATGATTCACAATGATATCATCACTATCTTCATCAACATCATAATATATTCAACATAATTTTTCAAACAATATAATTTTGTTTTGTTAATTTTTATGTATTTTTTATATTTATTCATTTTTGGCCTCACATTTTTTAATATATAATATATTATATTTTTTAGGAACTTTGTTATGAAATAAAACATAATCATCCTCAACACATTAAATAACATCAACATTGTTCTTGTCATCTTCATCACCACTATTGTCATCATATCATTGTTGTCGTCGTCACAGCCATCATCATAATAAGAACGGTCATATTTATGTGTATGTTAATTGGCAAGTAAAATATTTTACCTTTCTAACTTTCAATTGAGACCAAATTACTTATCAAGTTACTTTGTGCGACACAGAAAAATGATAAAACTGTGCTAAAAACCATAAAAATTATTTATAATCACAGCTGTTAATTAATCTATTCATCTCCAAAGCTAGTTCAAGGTAAGTGAACAACAAAAACTGATTCTGTAAAAGCAAAGCAGGTGACAAAATTACCAAGGTCCATTGCATATTACAACACTTTAGCAAGCTTAAATTGCTACAATATACTGTTACTGAAAGCATCTCTTTAAATATAAAGGCAAATATAACAACTATGTGTTGGCCAAGCCTAATCAACACAAAATCTAAACAAATTCAGGGTGTTGGCTTTTCCTTTTTACAAATTCTTTTTAAAATTTTTACTAAATTGAGCTCAAAATATTTACTGTAAGTATGATGTTTCAAAATTCCCCTTTTCAAGTTTTAATTAATAAATGTGATACTTTCACCTAAACTTTGTCTTGTAGTTACAATATTATAAATTGTAAAGCAAAGAAAGTGAGCAATTGTTGGTGCTAAACCCTATATTAATATTAAAAATTGCTAATTAATATACAGAAATACTAAACCAATATTTTGTACAAGATCAGCAAGACATGTTGCATTATATGGGGGAGGAGGTGAGCGGGTGGCTCCACTCCCATTTCAACTGTCAATACTGCACTTTATCTATAGATCCTTAAAAGCTGCAGCATTTTCCTAGTTTTGCAAATACCTGCACCGTACTAGAAGAAGCAAGGCAAGCTCTACGATATTTGTTTATTGATTGAAAATAACAACTTTGCCAAAAAAGATTCTGGGTACAGTAGAGTAATTTTGAGAGTGTGTGTATAATTTGTGAAGTGTTTTATACAGACTGCATGGAAATAATGCTCAGATATGTTTACTTTAAAGCTGGTAGAATGCATGGAAACCCTTGGTGTTTACACCGAATAAATCCATCCAATCCAAATTACATGAATGAATAGCTTATTATCGAATGCTAGGACAGATTATTATAGATTGCATGGACAGATTACATAGACTACAGATTGCATTCACAATTTATCATATATTACATGGAAAGATTATTATTGCATGGACAGGCTACAGATTACATGGACAGTTTATTATGTTATTACATGGACAGATTGTTATTGCATGGACAGATTACAGATTGCATGGACATTTTATTATATATTACATGAACAGATTATTATTGCATGGACAGTTTATTGTATATTACATGGACAGATTATTATTGCATGGACAAATTACATGGACAGACTACAGATTGCAGGGATAGATTGTGAAGCCAGAAAGGTATATGGAGTTTGAGGTAGTATGGATTTTAAGCTCTACTATGTTTGGTAAAATATTACATGAGGCTCTTGATAATGAATATATCTCAAGTAAAGTCATATACATACGAGTTACAACATGTACAAGAGTATCTTCTCCGCAAAGAGCAACTGATGCACATAAACAAATCACCTAATTAAGTAATAAACAAACACAGTAAACAAGGACAGAGTTGAGGCTAGGATATGTTTAGCTATAACATATTAAAAATGTTGTTTTTTTCTACAGACCAACAGAAAATAAGCTGTGTCTTAATTGTATCAACTTCTAAGACCCTGGGTTCAATAGTAAATGCTCATGGATTTTTCAAATCCAAGAACAGCTCAACTCCAAAAGCCTAATACTATGTAGCTTTCGATTATGCGACCATCGGTAAAAGATAGTAGAACATAATGGAGTTATGTAAGTGCAAATGCAAGCAGTTTGAGTTCTTGTTGTTGTTTGAATTCTAGGGTATGATCCTCTGAATCAGGGGCCATGGTTTCAGCTGAATTTGTAGCATATTTTGCAGAAAATGCATCAGTCACACATACATGAATCTGTGTTATGCTTGCTAGGACCAGAGATATGTCAGGCGTTATCTAATCCCGGGCGTGTGTTAAACCGTAGCATAACTAGGGAGATGTCCAGACTGGGTGATTAACGTAACACCAGCGTGTTTGGTCAAATCCTGGCCAAGTTTAAAATCATTGATGCATGACTGTCATAACTCAGTGGCATACACTAATCTGGGGGGGGGTCTGTTGGTGGACAGTGGCGGACCGTAGGGTAAAATGCAGGATATGCTAAGTATTGGCATACTAGGATGTGCGAGGGGCGCCCCCTCCCCCTGGCTGATATTGAAAACCAGCCATGAGGAAATTTAAAGCAGCTGAGAGTATAATGCGATAGGCCTGACTGTGACTTATCCTAGATACCAAAGTAGGCCAAACACTGGAAAACTTTGCTATTCCAATGAACTGTAGCATTCCACTAAAAAAATTAAGGTTTATATAGAAGATCCTGACTAAGAAATGCTAAATAAAACAGAGAAACTGGACTACTATATTTTTAAAATTTGTTTTAGCCAGTTGCTTGCCTTGACAGTCCGCCACTATTGTTAGATCAACGTCCGCCATTGATTGCATGTTAATACTGGCATTTGGTATGCCATGCACAAGTACACACCACTCGATTAACGGTACGCGATGTGTCTAAGGGTTACATCATTGAGCAATAAAAAAATCTCCCTAATAAAAATACTACTTCAGGAGATTCAGTGAGATAATAGGATACAGCCAGCAACATCTGACTTCTGCAATATTTTTCTTTTAATACCAAAACCACATCCTTAGCTGTAGTCTCTCATATGCTTGCCATTAAAATGAGACAGATTAATAACAATATTCTAAACTAAATTCATTATCCCAGCATTATGAATCCCATTAGATTTTTCAATATTTCCATGTTTTATCAGAACATGTGTTCCAACAGACACAGACATAACATTGTTTTCTATTCAATGTCCTGTGACCTAAATTCACTAAAAAACATACAGTATACATTCATGCTATTTTTACATGGTACATATGCAACTAAAAAGCCAAGAAAAATATTTTATGTTATGAATATCATGAATTTTATAAATTTTGGTAAATTTCTAAAATGTATGAAAATTTTTTGTAAATTAAATATTATAAAGTTTTATGATAGAGTTTTAGATCTAATTAGTTGTTAAGACTGACTGACACAAAGGAATGATCAATTTAGGCAAGATTCAAATGCCCATAGCTTCAAACAAAAAGTGATGTGTATGCCCGTAAAATCTATATTGTGGCACAAGGATATGACATCTCTAGACAACCGAAAATTGAGGCATGTCGTGGCGAAATGGTTAAGTTGTCGCACAGGCCAGTATTGAGGAAATGAGCTATAAAATATGGGAGCTCAAAAAATTGCCAAAAAATCCAAATTTGTTTTTCACTATAGATCAACAGTTTAATGTCTTATTAATCATATCCCAAAGTATTAGTTCTGGAAGTGGTAAACAAATCGTTTATTTAACATTATTTAGATAGTTAATTCTATTAAACAATGTATGCACAAATAACTTTGGAAGGCAATTACTCAAAATCACGTTTATCTTGACTCTAAGAGTCCTGTACTTTCACATTCCAATAACTTGGGCTTTAAATGTCCAATTTCATTGAATGACCCCTCATTTTAAAGATCACATACTCTGGTATCTGAAAATACCAATAACTTGAATTTAAATTTTTGCTACAACTTAGCCATTTTGCCACAACATGCCTCAATTGCACTAAATTTAAATTTACCTGTTCAGTAGTAACTTTCAAGAAGAATTGATCTGATTTTAGGACTTTCTGTGTGTGTGTGTGTGTGTGAACAGGTCAGAAGTAATTTAGATGAATTAACATGATTTTTGGACACCTAAAGTGTGAACATGGAAAGAATCCTACTTTAGCACTTGCTCTGTGTGTGAACAAGATTGAACAAAATGGCAGCATTTGAAAAGTACCTGTATTTCATTTTCATACAGTGTGTGAACCTGCCAAGTGTTCACTAAATGCTAATTAACCTCTGATTTATTCACACAGTAACCAGCTTTTTTCTAAGGCCTTATTACATGTACAATACACCAAGAATAAATTTGCATAAAATGTTTAATATGAATTTGATAATAGTATCACGGGTCACTTATCTTCTAAAATATATGTGGGGGGAGGAGGGTCGGGAGAGATAGCAGGGAGGGGATTTGAATCAGAATTGCCCCAGCAAAATGAACTTTAAAAATATCCAAAAAATTTTTAGTTCAAATTGAAACAGTAAAACTGCCAATGAATTTGTATAAAATTAACTCTTGCATTTAATGACTCATGGAACAACAATATAACTACCAGCAGAATATATTTCACACATACTCGTAATAATATTTGATGGGTTACTATCTGTCCAATCAGAGAGCTTGATTTCATAGTATTCTGGAATATCTGGCAAAAGGTATTAGCTACAGAATAGTGCTGAGAGATATGGAATATTTAATTAACTTGTTGACAAAGACTGATTTCAATGAAAGGTTTATTTCAGTTTGTTCATCGATTCTACTCACACTATGAATGTTATATGATATTTTTGATAGCAAATACTATAAATTTAGTAAATATATGCGTTGAATATGTAAACACTTCATGCAAATTAAACTAAATAATATTAAAGTTATATAAATTTTTTTTTGAACTTGAGAACGTGTTCTTAATTTTTGTTGATATCTATTTTTGCTGTTTATAATATTTATTGTTTATAATATTGCTAAAGAATCAAGTTTGAACTGTATAATAAAAGAAACACTATTAAAAGTGTAGCTAAAATAAGGCCTCAAAAGGGGGAAAAGTAAATGAAACAATGATTTATTATTTAAAAAAACCACATTATCCAGGATGTTGCTTCTTATTCTGTTTGTAGTACATATCATTAATATTGGCTGACAACAGCCATTCAGTATTAATAATGAAAACAAATTATACTTTCCTTTTATTATGACTATGACTAATATTAAGAATATTTTTAAGCTATATCCTGAAGTATTTGAATTTGGTCACATGGGCTAATGAAGGTCTTCCTTGGTGCCACATTTATAAATTGCTGTGTTGTACTTAGTTTTCGTACTAAATCCTTCAAAGCTGTTTAAATATGTGTATGAAGATAACAAAAAAACAAGAGAAAATAAAGTGACAGAATGAGCAAATTGAAAAAAAAAACAGAATCAATAATATAAACTAACCAGGGGCACCGGTGCAGTAAAACCAGCACAGTCATCTTATTTACGAGCAAGTTAAGGTGAAATATGGTTCAACGGAATAAAAGCAATGACGGAATTCGTTTTCACAACAAAATCGGCTCTATTACAATTTTTAAAACAATAGGTTATAATTTAATCCTGTGTGAACGTTAACGATGAGTCACACTGGTGATTAAATGATGATTCATTGGCACTGCATGAGTAAGAATGTTGAAGACCATTGTTTCAACATGTTTTTATAGATTTCATCAGCAGAAAAATTTTTTTTTTAACTTACACTGGGTTCCATGAGGATGGGGTCAAGACAACGATGGATAGTACTGCCAACAATTTCATCAAGAAGAAAGTGAACATGCTCTCTTCAAATGCAAGGACCCATCTACCTTTCGAATGCTAGCATAAAATCGACCTAGGCTAGGCCTAGGAATCGATCAAGTTTAGCTAATAATAGACTCAAATCCCTGTCTCTTATACACATCTAGTACCCAAAATATATAATTTCACACAAGTACCCAAAACGTTTGAGAATCAGAATTTTTGCATTTGTAAAAAGAAAATATACTGAAGGACATTTCTGCAAAATATCAATCACTAAATCAAACTGAGAAGTATAATAAAATCATTTTAAAATACAAATCTCAATAATAAACTATTGATTTTGGAATCTTTGGAAGCTGTTTTCTAAAAAGCTACATGGCTGATATCCAATGAACTATATATTCATAGCCTCAATAATACTCAAACCAACTTCCACCAAATAAACACTGTTTTAAAGAAGAATTCAAGCAGAATATTACAATAGCACAAACTAAATTTTGAATTTTCCAAACAGCTGGTTTTGCCAGAGATGATCACATGAGAAAATTTAAAAATTACACTTACTTTTCATCGCTTACAAATCTCCAAATGTACATGTCTAAATAGTGTGTATCTACTTGCATTTGTTGTAGCCCATAGCGACCAAATGTCCTTAGACGAACACATTCTAACAATGTCTTGGGAAGAAAAATATAAATATCATTATCTACTATTATTTAGTTATTTCTTTAAAGATAAACATTATAGCTTTGAGTATCAGATTATTGTTAAATTACGTATAGATATTTTACTAAGAAATTTTTCCCAACCCACTGTCTGTCTATGCAAGACAATATGAATATTATTATAAATCTGACACTTGGTAAGATAAGTATTTTCTTGTTCTAATTTTCAGTTATATGTTATTTTTGTTATTTGGGGGTCATCCATAATTTTCAACATTTTTTAAAAGAGCACAAAACATACTCTTTTCTGTGACCCTCCTACCTCCCCTTAACAGAGTACACCAAAAATGTTGATTTGTGTCATTTTGAGATCAACATTTTATCTTTTTCATAAAAGAGTACATGTGCCTACACTTTCAACCACCTCCCCCCTAAAGTGTATGTTTTGTACTGCTTCGAAAATGTTGCTAATTATGGATGGCTCCATGGTATTTATACAGGCCTATTGCTTTAGGTGAAGCAATTTTTTTCCCTGGTCATTGGGGCCACATGCTTCAGTGTTGCTGCCATATTGACACAGTAGCAGGCACCTCCACCAGGCAACCATTTATACTCCTTGGTGGCGAGAAGCAATGCAGATAAAGTGCCTTGCCCAAAATTAGAACAAAAATATATTCATCATGAGATTGATATTAATCCTACAATAACATTGATATTAATGATATGAATGTGTTCTAATCCTCTGTTGTCCAGTCAATCCTTTCTTATTGTATTATTATTATTATTTGAGTTTCACATATCATTATTAAGTGTCAATTACAGAGAATTGTAAATAAAGCTGACAGAGTGATCGGTGCTGAAGTGAAATCCTTGGAAGATGTTAAAAAAATTTCATACTTAAGAAATTTAATTATGCAATTATGATATCAATTGAGAAACCATGAGATTGATATTAATCCTACCACGAGACTGATAATAATCCTACCATGAGACTGATATAATAATAATAATAATAATAGTAATAATAATAATAATAATAATAATAATAATAATAATAATAATAATAATAATAATAATAATAATAAAAGCTTTATTTAAAGGAACTTTATTTAAAGGAACCCAGATGTTGTTTTGAAATTTTTGGGCTCAGCTCTATCTTAATCTAATTGGAAACTGACATTAAAGAGTGATAATAAACGTACAATAGACAGGCTTACCTTAAGACTAATCTTGATGATACCGGTAAGTACAGAAACTTTGGAGAATTCTACAGCACTGAAAATTTCAATCCGTTCTGAAAATAACTTCTGAATATTGGTCATGAGACTGTTGTCAAAATTTGTGCTAAAAAATCATAAAAAAAGAAAATTCCAATTATGAATAACACTTTTTTGACAAATTCAATACCTTAATAGTTAACAACTAAAAACAAATTAATCTTTCATTCACATCCAACAACTACACTAGTAAATGGCAGCAATGCATGTGTGGTTTCAGTTTCAGTTTTTATTGGCACACACTTTTACAACAGTGGCACACACTAATTAGTGGTGCGTCCAAACTTACAAATTAAATAACAGTGAACAAAAGTAAAATTGGAAACACAAAGGTAAACAGAAAAATCGGGGAATTAAACAAAATAGTAAAAGAAAAGAAAAGAAAAACATCCCAGAAATACAAAATTCAAATCAAAGGTTGTACAAAGTTAAAACATACTGCATTTCAGTAAAAGCAAGTAAGAAATAAATAATTAAAAAATCAAACTCATTTAATTGAGTTATGCACCAGCAATTTTAGACTCGACTGTGATGCAATATCAACTCTTTACAGAAGGCATTGCGTATATTGTACCTACCTTGGGGTGTAGTTTCTTGGCATTTCTTTCTTGTGATGTCGGGCTGAACTCAGGCTTAGCCTACGGCTTGAATCGCTGCTATGTGCCTTGCGCACACCCTCTTCGTACAAGTGTCCCACTTGGGTGTCAATGGCCGTCACATCTTCCACAACTCGTTTCATAACAGCACGGACATTACGAGGTTCGATTGTGTTTAACCAATCTCTGGTTTCTACACTCTTCCGTAACATCTAAACACAGGGTATATGAAAATGTTAGATTAACCAATTATATCTTAAAAGAGGTGATATACAAATTGCTCAAGACGTCTTTATAACATGCAAATAAAGGAAGTTGGTCATACTTAATCATGTATTGTTTCTGTCATAGTGAGTTTGTTTTTGCACTTACACAGTACTTCAAATTATTGCCTCTGGTAGAATGCCTCATTTCACAGTAGAAATGTTTGATTGCTTCAGCAAATATTACGATTTTCCAATCATATATTAACTGACTATAATAATAATAATATGTTAGATTTTATATAGCGTTTAATGCCAACAAGGTCTCTAATACCCCATTCAGACTAGCATCGCATTGCAATCGGTTGTAGCAATTGCAACACCCAATCGCAAAGTAAAATCGTGTGTGAAAGCTCACCAATAATAGTAGATATGATCGATATTGCAATTGTTACCCGTTGCGATTGGGTGCTACAATCTTTATTACTCCCGATTGCCGCAGAATCCGATCGCAGCGAATCAAAACAATTTTCACAGGCACTGTTTGGCTGAGGTCAGTCAGCAAAACATATTCCACAAGCACTGTTTGGCTGAGGTCAGTCAACATAGGCCTAGCCACCGGAGCCTTGCCCTATAGAATGTAAAATTTGTTTGTGTTGGTTTGAATGTGTTCGTTGATTGTGATTGGGAGTAATCAGTTTTGGATTACCACCGATAAAATCGCAACCGATCGCAACAGAGTGTAGTCTGAATAGGGTATTAGTGCTTCACATTATTACCCATGGTCATAGGATCAAGCACATATGGAACACATACTCTGCTTCCTGGGGAAGAATCCCATAATGTTGTAGCTGTAGTCAGCGCATTTTGTGTTTTAAGCCTATCAGGTACCAACTTTTACTTCTGGGAGGAGAGAGACAACCTTAAGGTAAAGTGTCTTGCCTACGGACACAAGAAAAAAGCACAGCGAGGGATTGAACCTCCGACCTCAAGGTTGAGAGGCAGAACCACAACCGCTACACCAAACCGTTCCTAGTGATGACTCACCTGTGAAATCTGCAATCCCTGTATCTGCACATACTGGTTAAGTAATTTCTGGGCTGTTTTCTTAGCTTTAGTTGCAAGGTCAGCTGCAGGGGTTACTTTACAGCGTGGGTCAAGTGAAAACTGGTTATCAGCTGTTGTAACCTGTAGAGTAAATATAGAATTTTCCATCATGTTATAAAATTAACAAATGAACGCTTTTTTAGCCTTTATATATTAAGGATTTTTCAAGATATAGGAGGAAATAGGGTTTGCAAAGAAAAAAAAGTGGCTGCAGGAAGCAGAGAAGGTTACAGATGATTGTAAAATATAGCAAGAGAGGGAATAAAGTTTCAAAGGAGGGCAGGAGAGGATGCAAGGCAGGGTAGGAAGGAGGCTGGAACAGACAGGATGTTGCAAAAGAGTGCAAGGGTTGAATGCCAATGAAGAATGTTTAATAGTAGTTATTTGGTTGCAATATTAATAATATTTATTGTCTATCTGTTTAAATTACTACTAACTTACAATTTGTGAGATTGTTGTGTTGCTAAAATCCATGTGGAGTCTCGACAGAAGCAGAATAATTGCTGCTGGGGCCGACCCTTTCTCACCACTACGCTCACAAAGATCCTAAAATGTTAAATTTAAAATCTTTAACACAATAACATAACATAATATTAAAACAGTGGTGAGACTGATGCATAATTTATAGAAACATCATCAGTACCACCGGTTATATTATATTTTGCAATTTATCGTCATTTTAAATACTCAAAGAAACTTATCTAATTGCATTGAAAATAAAGAATTTTAAAGAAGTTTAGATAAAATTAATAAATCAACAAAATATGAGTAAGAAAATTTGGTATGTGACTAAATATTAAAATTAACAATGTTAGTAGACAGGAGTTAATTATACTTACACACGATGCCTTGAACAAATACTTAAGAAATCCAACAACCACTACTTCCCTGACGTCATGAACACAGAAAGTGCCCTGGAAGTAAGCTGTGTTTGCAAAAGTCAGGTCTGAAGATGTGAATCCCTAAAAGTAAAATATTATTATTAATATTATTGTTTTTAAAGCCTAAAGCTCTGTCCAGACTATCAAATTTTCTTTGACAAATAAACTGTTTTATGTCCATATATAGTCATGATTTGCCTATATATGGTCATGATGTGATGTCATCATGACCATATTTAGGCATGTCACAAGTCTAGACAGGGCTTAACACCTAATCATTAATTGACTGTGGTCATTGCCTCACCTGAAGGTTGGCAAGAACCACTTTCATTTGCTCAACAATTGACGATGACATCATCGTCAGCATATCCATCAGGTTTGATGTCTCCTGCTTCCCTATGAGTCGCGGTGTACATAGCTTCTGTCGCACATCAGTTGTGCATTCAATGAAATGATTCTTCAATCCTTCAAGGTAGAATAGCGACCTCTCTCGGGCAGCATTGGCTACGATTTCTGTACCTCGAACGATGATATTGAGCTCAGGAAGAAGCTTGTCAACAGCTTGGAGACGGCGATGGAACCTGTCTAGAGCTCTGACCAGCATCGAGTTCTCAACCGATTCCTTCTACATGTGGAATATAGTTTAAATAAAAATGAGGTAATTAAAGATTCAGGCTTTCATATATGCTATATTATACAAATAATGAATGTTTATGAGTGCAATGGGGTAGAATATTTCATTTTCACCGAATTAAATATTCTACCCCATTGCACTCATAAACATTCTTTATTTGTTTTATATAACACCTAACTGTATCTCGCATGCTCTCTTCAAATGCAAGGACCCATCTACCTTTCGAATGCTAGCATAAAATCGACCTAGGCTAGGCCTAGGAATCGATCAAGTTTAGCTAATAATAGACTCAAATCCTTACCGCTGAAGCTGGCAAAATACTCCATATGGTTAACTGCATATTTTATTGCCTTTTTTGTTGATTCGGCATCACTTTCATTCAGTAAATCCTCCAAACCTTCTTCGCTCAAAAGTACAAATGACCCCAGTACCAAATAGACCTGCGATTTTATCAATGGAGCAAGGGCTACTGAATGACCAACTCCTTGTTGACGCGCGCGGGGTGCCCAGGCTAGGCAAGTTCATTTTTCTCGCTCGTGTTGCATTTGAGATTTCTGTCGTCTTGGAGATAAGAAAGTACTATTCAACGATCGTTGACTAGCACTCAAATAACTATGGATTAGTCATTTTAAATCAATCTCATGTGACCTGTTTTCAACTAATCAAATTAATAGAATATATACAGGTGTTGTATAAACTTGGCTAAGAAATTGTATGGATCATACCTCAGCTTGAATCCTTAGCTCAACGCAGGAGAAATACTGCTCCATCCTGGACTTGACAAACTCTGCCAACTTGGAGTGGGCTATTTCCTGCAGTTGCTCCTGCTCCTGAGGACTATGGAATTGGTAAAAAAAAAAAAAAAAAAAAATCTTTCATCTGTTTATTATTCTCCATTGTACAAGAAACAAATTTGTTTTTTAAACAACTAAATATCTCTTTTATGTTACAACACATTTCTTTCTATAAGTAAAAGGATATTCTGGTATATGATGGTTATGAGGAATTTCGTAATTTTTGGTTATTCAACAGGCACGTGCTTTCTGTGATTCCTCAAGTACATATCTTATTAATTAACTACTGTACATGCCTAAAGTATGGATACTCAGAAGGGACACAAAACAAATATACAACATGTCTAAAATACATCCCTTCTGAAAAGGTTAAAACAAAATTTAATAATGTGAACAAAAATATGTTCGTTGGCTGTTTCTGGTGGCATAATACAGGTCTCCCTCCAATTAAAGATCCTTCTAATTAAAGACTACCTCCAATTAAAGACCACTTCTCTGTGGTCCTAAATTTACTAACATCTTTTATTTTTATTATTTTAATTAGAGACCAAAGCTGCTAAAGACCATTGGAACCTGGTCCCAAAAGTGGTCTTTGATTGGAGTGAAACCTGTACTTTCTAAACACAACAATAGACTGTTAGTGCCTATGAAAAGTTGATTAAGATCCATTAATTAATAATTTTTCGCAGGTTATGCCCATAAAAACTGTACTCAATACCAATTCAGTGCAGAACACATTGTAAGGACAGTACTTACTCTGAATGAGTTTGCCTGTTCACGAACAGTTCCTTGTAAGATGCAATCACTAGACAGATGTTACCAAGGAAACTAGTACAACCTTTGTGAATGAATTCCAAAATATCCTAAGAAAAAAAAACAAAAAAACAAAAAACACAATTAAAATCATGGAATTGTAAATCACGACACCTGTCCATTGATTTACTATATCAGTTCAACTTGTTACGAATTAGTTTATTTCAAGCTTTATGATTAAATTATGACACGACGATCATGATTATGATAATAAAGTTAACTATAAATGCTCCTTTTAAGCAGCTCAGCAAAACCATAGCCTTCCCACATTGTGATTTTTCTCGCCTATTTACATGCATACAAAAGATTGTTGCTTTATCACCATATTGCATTGTGCAAAGTTTGAAACTAATCAGGCTTAAAAAACTTTAGTTATCATGGTAACTAGCCTATAATATGCTAATGAGCAATTATCATAATTACACATGTACCAAAAACAATAGACTCTGTCTTCTTATTACCATCTTGCATTCTACCAAGTTCGAAACCAATTGGACTTAGGGCAATTTCATGGTAGCGGAATCACTATTTTGCTGAACTTTTTAACTTTAATCTAATGTCATCACTATTTTGCTGAACTTTTTAACTTTAATCTAATGTCATATTTACACTCCATTCTAATTCTTGGAATAATTATCATATTTACATAACTATGGAATCCATCTATAATTTCCACCCTAGTTTTTTTTTTAAAACCTATCACAATTTTGATATAATATCAAAAAATATGTATGGTGGCGGAAAGACAAAAAAAAAAAACCCTCTATTTTTACCACTTCACATTTTACTAAAACCCTCTGATTTATGAAAATGATTTAAAAATTGAATACATCTCAGTTAATCATAATTTAGTGTAGTATTGAATGCAAAACATTGATTTTTAAAAATGTTTATAGTTTTGGATATATTTATAAAAATATAAGACCATGTCTGGTAGCGGAATCACAGTAGCGGAATGACCATTGATAAAAGTGCATTTGAAATTAATATTTATGAAAAACCTTCTTGACAAAATGTAAAATCTTTCACTTTTTATGAAAACAATGCTGAAGCAATTCACTTGGTATTTGAAACAAAATTTATTTTACTTTATCAAGTCTCAAACACAATTATAAAAATTATGAAAATTAATAAAAATATTGGATTGTTTACACTGTAATTACCAAAACACAATAACATTATATTTTTAGTTTAGAGTTTGCCTATTCTATACTTAAAAACATTCTGAGTAATTTAGTTGTTTAATTATTTAACTTAATCAAATATATAATATCATTCATGAATATAATTATAGTGGCGGAATGACAGTAGCGGAATGACATTGGAATATTGCTATAATTTACTGGTGATTCTTAAGTATATTAACAACACACACAAAAGCAGCATGTGAATTTTCACAAAATTACAGATGTTAATGGTCAATCTGTTTGTTTGTAGAGCATTTTCCGTTGCTGCTCCCAAGGTGTGGAATAGCTTGCCTATCTTTGTTCGTGAGTCTCCTTCTGTTGAGATATTTAAAAATCGTCTCAAGACTCATCTCTTTAGTTTATTTTAATTTGCAAATTTCTAGCACATAGAGACCTATGGATTTTGCGCTTTACAAATCCAAATTATTATTATTATTATTATTATTATTATTATTATTATTATTATTACATGGAAGCATTAAAACCTCACAAAGCATCAGTTCTCTGCAGCAGTTAATGGCATTTTGGTACTCGTGCGATCTCGATGATAAAAAATAACAAGTGATGCAGTATTCTTTAAGATGCATAAGAATACATTCGTCACTGGTTTGTGAGCCAATAGCAAGCACTTAAAATTAGTAGGTGGAGTAAAAACCTACCATACAAATTTAATTAAGTTGTTTATTATAAGAAAATTTATTTGATTAACAAGTACCTCTTTGAAGCAAAACTCTAAAGTAGAAAGTTTATTGGAAGTTTCTGAGAAAAGTACACCTCGCCCCTTTTCCCATACCTAAACTTGCATTTGAACAACAAAGTTGATCCAAGCTTTAATTATTGTTTATTTGTATCATTTAACCATTGAAATTTGTTAATCCATTTGATACTTGGAAAAGAAGTTGAATTTTGTTGCTATCTTAGTGGGTAGCATATTTTGGTAGCGGAAATACACGTGATTCCGACATTTGGTAGCGGAATCACGTTTTTAAAACCTTTATTTCTAAAAATATAAAAAAAATTTTTATTTAAAGCCTATTGTTTTCTGACACATCTATCAGTAGTCTATTATCACCTGTACTTTTATTTTTGGAAAAATAAATACTTTTGGAAAAAAAAAATGGTGGTAGATTTGATTAAAAATAGGGCTGCAACGGGAATGCTTATACCAAGATCCCATAATTATGGTGATGATAATGATGATGAAAATTGTGATGATGACAATTGACAATGATGAGTATGATGATAATTATAACATTAATAACAATAATGAATACAAAACAATTGTTAATGATGATAATGACAAAAATAAATGTGATAAGGATGATAATGATGATGATGATATAACTAAGTTGCTAACCATTGGCATATTTCTCATATACTTCTCAGATGGTCTTTCATCAGTCTTTTCTGATGACTCTACCATTTCATCTTCTGGTGTGGAAACTTCTAGAACACTTGTAGGATTTACTTGGGCAGACATTTCAGACAGATCTTCATCAAGTTTCTCCTGGGCACTAAAATACAAAGAAAATAGTATAGTGAGAATAATCAATAAATGAAGATAAGAATTTAAAAGAAGAAATTCATGCTGTCAAAAATATTACTATCCTGAGCTCTTTGTTCTTGGATTGGATACACTGAGCTCGTTGATTTAGTAATATTTGGGAACACCAACGGACTGTTTCAATGTATATGCTAAGTGGGGAAATACATTTTTCATCATTTTCACAAGAGTAAACATATGCTAAGAGAGATGGGCCAACACCTGTATGTACTTTTTAAATGAAAATAAAGAATTGATGATCTCCAAATGACAATAATAATAATAATAATAATAACAATAATTTGAATATTTATTAAGCACTCTTACACAGATGGTCTAACAGTGCTATTACAGAAAAGATAATTGAACAAGATGAGTTTAGAGAGCAAATTTTGAACTGTTTCAAGGTTATAGAATGACGAACTTCACAGGGTAGTCCCTTCCATAGGGATGGTCAGTGGCATAGAAACCCTTGTGAAAAGGCAACAACAATCAGCATTTTATTAAGCAATTTTCTGCAGAGGAAGGGGGTCACAAATAAAAGTATTTTTGTTACTCTTTTGAAAATGATGAGCAGATGGATGACCTCGACACTTCTATGATACGTACCGTGCCAAAAACTCATCGCAAAGCTCATCTGCGGGCTCCTTCAACTGCAACAGAAGGTCAACACACTCTGCAAGCTGTTTTGGAGTTGACTATCAAAAAAAAATTAACAAATAATAAAAAAATGAATTTACATTGATCATGAGTTCTAGGTATATCACTATATAATTATTGATGTAATATTTTGGTCTTTGTTATAGGATTACCTCTTTGTCTCTAAATTGCTCTCGCAGCTTTGATCGCAACTCAGCGACAATTTCACTACAATCTTGCTGTATACCATGAAAGGACGGCATGTGTTGGTATTGGTTGAGGACAGCTCTTGTCTTGGCGTAGTATCTGAAGCACAAAAACAAAAAATAAATGCTTTAACTTGATTTCAGTCTGCAAACCTATTGAGAGCAGGGGCAGATCCAGAGATGTCCAAAAGGGAGGGGGGCTGGAAGTTGGGCCGATCGAGACAACACCATGCTAGGGGGTCGGGGGGCATGCCCCCACTAAAATTTTTGTCTTCTAGACCCTCGAAAATAACATTTGAGGCGTTCTGAGCTATCGTTTTTTTTCTCTTTTTTTCTTTTTTTCTTCTTTATTTTACCATTCACTATGGGGGGAGGAATATAATAAGGATACATATAAATCCACAATATCCATAAATAATTGACCCAAGACCAAGTTTGGTTTCTTCCACCTTTATCCTCACCACATCATTCTGACTGGTGGTAACCACTGTGTGCACAGTAAACCATAGGGATCATTGTATCCCTAGTTCTATTCCATCAATCTGCTCACAATGAAATACAGTCATTCAGAGAGAGATTTTTAAGATGTTGACTTTGTGTACATGGTGCATGTATATGTTAAGGATCATTTTCAAGTGTACAGCACTGCAGTGGGGCCCAGCCAAATTACCTAATTATTCTTCTAGGATCAATTAAATTGCTTTACATTACCTACCATCATTAAAATTTATTGGATGTACTCTACCTGACGGCCTGTCCATATGCTTTCATTTCAATACACTTCTTTAACCTCGCAGGAAGTTCAAATAGAAATTGCAACTGTTAATATAAAACAGACAAATTATTGATAACAACATGAGAAAGAATCTCCCCAGGATTTCTATAACAATAACAGGATGTCAGTCATATAAGACTTGCCATTCCAAAACCAGCATGTGTTGCCAATTGTTAAACTAGTAATTAGCATAAGAATATGGCAGTATTGTATGCTATAGTATATAATATATATGTATAGTATATAATACTTTTTACTCATAACTATGGCAACTGTAAGTCAATTCCAGTACATGACCCATCATTTTAAAGTTTAAAATGTGGAGAATAAAAGAATAAATTAAAAAGTCAATTTCCATTTTTTGATGGGCTTCACACTATTATCTGATTCAATTACATATTTCCCTCTATGCTTATTTTGGAAGGCTAAGAAAGAATAACAACCTTTTTAAGGAGTGAATGAACTCCGCTGAGCTTGGATATTTGCTGTCGTCTCTCCTGCAATGTGTTACTAATCCCTGCGCTGAATTCGGTAATGGCATCCATGTTTGTTGCTAGTCGATCCATCTCATCTTCCATTTTTTTGAAATCATTTTTCATCTGTATACAAAATTAAAACTTGATTACTGTTGTTGAACCAGAATTCTAATATGATTTCACAAAGTAGACCTAACATATGGAATGATATGCCAAACATATCTTTATGGGACTTTAAAAAATGTGCATCAACTGCTTTTTAACTTCAATGTCACCAAATAACTTACCATATTTATTTAAAGAAGAATTTTTGAGGGGGTGTTTATTCTAGGAAGGCGTTTTTGTGTAAAATGTATATGTATATACACAAATAAATGCCCCTTAGTGCTTCTGGTAATGTGGAACTACAACACATACCGTCTAATTGCCTTATTTCTTGATTCTAAAGACTTACTAATCACAACCAGGTTAGTAAAGATGTAATTCTACTGAAGTAGAATATTAATAGGATGTGTTGAGAATGATGTTGCTTCCATTAGTTTGTTTACAGTCATTTGAGGGGCAGGAGCATTTAATGGAAGAAAAAATAAATGCCCGGGTCATATATTCGAGGAAGGCATTTATTTCAAATGAGGCTCTGGAAGGGGCTTTTATTCAAGGGAGGAGCTTATTTAATGTGGGGTATTTATTTGAATAAGTACGTTATTTTTATTTATCAATATATGTGGCAAAGACAAGCCAAACCAGTCACTCGTCGCAAATCGTGTTTCAGAGAAAATGGCCAAATCATGCTGGAATGTCAAATTTTTAAAAATCTATTTTATTGCACTAAACTAACCTTTATATACCTACACATCATCCTATGCTGTTATTTTCCCAATGTGCAATGTTAAAACAACATTTTTGAAGAATTTGATGATAGTTTCTGCATGAGAAATGCCTGAAATCATAAACTTTGAAGGCTGATTTCTCATATATAGTTCTTTAAACAGCTGTATGTTTAAACGCTTGTAACTTTATAAGGAAATGTTCGATTTGAATGATTTTTTTACCATTTTACAGCAATTATTTTACTCTCTAACACTGTATTAATAACTCAAAATCGATTTTTGCGACGAGTGACTGGTTTGGCTTGTCTTTGCCACATATATTCTTTATTAGGTCAACTGAAATTTTACAATTGGGGCAGAGGTTGCAATTTACTAGTTTAGTCATGTGACTTACCTTCCTAATGGTATCTGTTGCACTAATAAACTTATTATAATTTTCATAAACAAGTGTTTGCATGTCACTGTCAAGGGAACGGATTTCTGAAAAGTCGAAAAATAAAAATCGTGTGAATTGAGTTTTCATAGACAGCATAAATAACCACTCAATCATTTGTCATATCAATAACATTCAATGTTGCACTACAAAAATAATAAAATATATAACGACAAATATGAATTTAAAAAAAAAAAGAAAAATAGTACAAAATTTATATTATGAAAATGGCTTACACAACCAAATAAGAAAAGAGAAAATTGTAAAACAGTAATTGGAAATGCAAAGAAGCATGTTTTATACACTATACCTTCTATAGAGGGCGAAGTGCCAGGAAAATACAAGAAAGGGTGATGCAAAACAGAATGGATTGATGAAATTAGAAAGTGACAACACACCATACAAATGGCGAGATAGAATGCCAAACAATGTCTTTTTTTAAGGACGTCTTTGACATCATCAACATATTTATCATCCCAATCACCATCATCCTCATACTTATAACCATCATCACTGTCATACCGTAAAACCTCGAATTAAAGCTCTGGGCCACTTTTTTTTTTGTTGCAAACTTTGGATGGGCTTCTTTTTGAGGCTACTTTTGAGAATGGGGCTTCTTTTCAAAATGAATGCTGTAAATTTTGTGAATTTTTACTATAATATATAAGGCTACTGTAATATCAATCTGTATCATGGAGTGTATTTAACTGGTATTAAATCACCTAAATTACTGTATAAACCAAGCTTGTTTTAAATTTATTTTGTTTTGAAATTCATGTACAGTGTATGTGCTGTACTATCTCAAAAAAAATCCCATGGGCTTCTTTTTTTTAAGAAGCTAATTTTGAAAACTAAAGAGGGGGCTTCAATTCGAGCTGGGCTTCATCTCGAGATTAAGCCCACTAGGCTTCAATTTGAGGTTTTACCGTATATATCTTTCTATCTATTCCTGTTCATCACCATCCCATTATAATCATCATCACTATCATAATCATCATCACTATCAAAATCATCATCATCACAATCATCATCATAATCATCATTCTCCTTTTTTGTAAATACCATATAACAAATTAACTGAATCTTACGTTTCACCATGTCACTTTCCCTGTCAATCAACTCGTTTAGTCTCTTTTCCTTCATCAACCTTGAAAGGTACACCTGTGGATCAAACTGAGCTCCGTTGATGTCAATGGGATTCGAATCCTGGTTCTCCTTACTTGTGTCTTCCATTCCATAGTAAAGCTTCAGCATTCCATGCTTCCGTCGTCTGCGGATCTCTTCACTAGCATCATCCATTTTTTCTATTTGGATAAACAACATCATAGTTAGTTAATCATAATGTGTAAATTATGTTCCTGGTAGGCGAATCAAAATTAATTACTGTATGTTAAAACAGTCTCATGTGGTCTAATTTGTCTGTCCAGACTTCTTAAAAAAGGGAGGATCTTAATTTTTACAAAACAGTTGATTCTGAAAACCGAAAGGTCCACTGATTAATCTCAGATAAGAAAGTATAATACATACTCCAAGTATTGAAATACACGCCATCGTGTTGGGATTCAAAACAGTTGATTCTGTTTTTTTTATGTTAATAATCTGGAGATCGTGGGTTCGAGTCCCACCCGAGAACAACTTGCGATTTTTTTTCGCAGTTGTTTTCAAATGTACTGAGTATTCGGTACATTTCCACGTCAGGTAGGTAAAAATTACACCTATACAAATCATGTTTTGTAACTGAATCCTAAATAAACCCAATCCAATTGAACAAATGAACGTATTCAAGTAACAAAAAAATATGCTCAAGTAGATAAAAAATTACCTATCACATTAAATTTGTGAGGCAGCCCCCCACCCCACCTCTACTTAATTATTTGAGCACCCCCACTTCACCTTCACGCACCCCAATCAGACTAACTCCCCCTCCCCCAGTTCAAGACTGCTGAACCTACATGTAGATACACCACTGCAATGAATGAAATGAAAATTTAACCTTACATTTTCTAGCTAAGTCTAGGCTAATGGGTGGGGACAGGAGCTTGTAATCAGATTTGCCAAAGTAATTTAAAACATAAAATAATTATTAAAAGTAACAAGACCTTTGAAAATTTACACAGTGCATTTTGTCATTAAAAACAATAAGAAAAAAACAATTTAGGCTTAGGCTTAGCTTAGGCCGTAGGCCTAGGCCTATGTTTTGGATTCGCTCAAAAAGTAGCATCCGCTCGTATTGCAGGGAGTTGTTATTTATAATGCTTAGTGCCTACCCTATACACAGAATGCAATTAATCACATATATTTCCCTAGGCCTAGTCCTACAGCACTCCTACATAATGCGGTAGAGCATCCAGGCATAGGCCTAGTAGCCTGGCCGGAGTCCTAGCCTAGAGGAAATGAGAGTAGGCTACCTACTTGCCCTCCTTCCTACCCGCCAGGCAGTGTTGTGGCCGGCGGGCTAGCGGCTAGCCTAGGCCTCTTTTTTTTTACTCCCTAGTTTAGGCCTAGCCTAGAAGTAGTAGGTCTCCATTACAATGCCAGACTTAAGGGACGTATAAACCTAAATTATACGAGTAATTACACAAAATGAAAATGTTTCACTGTACCTGAAGAGGCCATTTTTAGGTAGCTTAGGCCCAGGGCTAGGGTTGCTGCTTTCCTCCTCGAAACTCGAGCACATTGGTGTGGCAGATTTGCGCATGCGCTAAAGGTGGCACACTGCAAATGTGGCACAAGACGGTGACCCCGCGAACGTCAACAAGATGGATATTACACCACTTTTCAAAGCATCTGTTAAAACAGTTCGAACGAGAAATAAAGCTCTGGGAACTGGTCAAGAGAGCACCAAGAATTTAATTTTTAAATCTAGCCGTCCAAAAACGGAATTTTCTACCAAATCTAAAGAAATGGTAGGTGTAATGGTTAGGCCCACGAAATTGTCTACTGTGAATAAATGTTCATGGGGAGACCTCGCTTCATACCCGCCAGGGTGAAAGCTAATTCATAGGCCTAGGATATTGCATAAGGTGACAAACTAGTAACACTGTACTGTAGTACAGATGGTGGATAATGTATAATCCATATAATAATGCACAATCCATCATTATTTATATTTGACCTTTTTTACATCCAAATGAAAGTACGCAACAACAGCCCTGCACACACAGATGCAGCATCAACAACAACAAACAAATCTGAAAAATCAAACTGTGCATAGGCCCAATATTGTTATTAATTATACAAAAACAAGAGATAAAAATGGGATTAGCCTAAGTAGTAGTAGTACTACTACCACTACTAGACTAGGCGTAAGTCAATTCAATGACCCACTGACAGACTGTATAGGCCCTATGGTCAGTTTGTTCAACTTACTGATGCTAAAGTACAATACTTCAAACCTAAAAAGAAAAAGATATTTATAAAAAAAAAAAAAACAAGAATGGAAACAATATTGGATATTATTCTGTTGGTCTGGAAGTCCTGTGCAGTTTGAATTACTGTAAACCTAATGTCGCCCTAAATTTTGATATATCCACTTTGTAAATATTTTAGTAATAGGTGTCAACACTTTCACTCTGTTTTTTGTTTAATTTTTTTGTTAAACAGGTTGTTGCCATAACTAAGTTGAAAGACTTCTTAATAAAATATAGAAAAGATTATATTAACCCATCAAGGTGAGTAATGATACAGCTGTATTCTATATATCTATCAGTAATAAGTTGCACTTAACATACTGATAAAATATGCCAATGCCAAAAATATGCCAAAAAATGCCAATGAAGCATTATTTATTTTATACTGTACTTTATGACTTTTCATTATTAAATCATCATCATCATTATCAACATCATCATCATCCCGTTTGTCCCCTCATGGGGTGTCGTGTCACCTCATAATCGTCCTTTATCGGGTGTAATTTGTTACTGTTTATAGGTCCACCAATATTCCATCTTGTCTGATGCAGTCCATCCATTTCTTTCTGGGTCTCCCTCCTGGTCTGTTCCCATTAAATTCCACTCTTTTTGTTGTCCATCTTATCATACAGTATATTATCTTATCATATCAACCTCTTCCCATCTCATTACTGTACATATATGTCTGTACCATTTCAGTCTGCACTCTTAGATTTTATCTCCAAAACGTGTCAGCTTATCCTTCTTTTAGTCTTTCAGTGTAACTCCACTAATCACTCTTAAACCCCTCATCTCAGCAACCTCCAGCTTCTTCACCTGTAATTCCTTGATGGCCCATGTCTCATCACTGTACAGCCCCACTGGTCTGACCATTGTTTTGTATACTTGGTTCTAGTCATGCATAGTCAAATAATTTAAAAACAAAAAAATTTTAATTCACTTCATTATCCTCTTTTGTGTCTCTTCCTTATCTGCATTTATAGTCATTTAAAATCCGATGCAAGTTCTATGACGGAAGCTGACCGCGATAAGATAGATGCTGATGCTCAAGTCTTTATGAAGACATGTTTAGATGCCATCCGATCGTTCAAGCAAGAAGGTAGGAGCCCCGTTTGTCATAGCTTTGGTCATAGCTCTCATTCACACCATTCAGGCCAAGTGCAAAAATATGGATATAAAAATAAATATAAGATCTGCTTAGTTTTTGGCTACCTCCACATTGTTTTTGCATAGCCTTTAGTAACAAGTTACTGTGATTTTTCAAGATTTTTGGGACACCTCTGAAAAATATATCCTGTGTTAGGATTTACAGTAGAGGGTTATCGCAGATATCATAACTTTTGCTTTTGTGCTTCTTGGTTCTCTAATGATAATAAATAATAATAATTCATATAGCACCCTATAATCATTTCTCAGAGCACAAAAATATATAAATAAGAAAGGACAAATTATAAAGTGAAAAGATATTTTAGGCAGTCCTTAAACATAGTCAAGGACGTTGCCTCCATAACAAATATTAGAAGCTGCTTCCATAATAATGGTGCACTGGCAGAAAAAGATATTTTGTTTTCCTCTCTCTTGTTCTTCTTTGTTTATGCTATCAAATAAATCAAATCAAACCTGTATCTGCTTTACAGTTCTACATTTTAACTCTGAAAAATATTTGTTGTATATGTTTTTACTCAAAATAGCTGCCATTAACGCATGTTCTGATATTCACTTCTTTTTTCAATAGCCATGAAGCAGGAGTTAACAGAAGAGGTAAAGATGCACAGAGAAGCTACATTTGAGCTTTTGGACTCTTACTTAAAAGGTTTGTACATTTAAATTTGACTGAGACTTTTAATACCTTGTTGCGCGAACTTATTTTTTTAAAGATTGAGGAGGGGGAAAAAAATAAATAAAAATATAATTTAGTTTTCTTATTTAGCAATATTGGTTTTGCCAAAAACATCCAGACAGAGGAAAAAATAAAAATAAAATTTTATTAGTGAATGTAAATAGGTAGTAATGCGATGGTTAAATGCTTTAAATTTATATAATTAGGAAACAATATACATATCTTATTTTTTGATTTAAAGGCGGTGGCAGTCGTAATAAAAATAAAGAAAAACTTTTTTTTTCTGAAATTTCCATTTTTTTGTGGCAGAGGGTGAGCTAATTGGCCAAAAATAAAATTTTATTTTTATTCGTAATCACAATTGTTGGGGCGACAGGTTCGCTAAACAAGGTATATAAAGAGTCTCGTCTTGTCTAATTAATAATTAAATTCTAGTACCTCATGATGCTTGGTGTGCAAAATCATCTCTCTGTTGCAGTTAGAATCATTTTTTATTGGAAGATGAGACTTCCTAATCAGAAAAGTCAAAGTATTCTCACTGATATAAAATTTGGTTCTTTTTCAGAAATCACTTCAAACACACAATGTACTGTCAAACTTTTACCTCTCTTTAACAACAATAGTTAAAGGTGTGTCGTATAGAAGTAAAAGCGATTGGAATCGTAATAAAAATATTGCACCTCACAGAATAAAATTGTAAACCTCTAAAAAAATAAACAAATAAGAATTTTTAAAAAGCTAAAATCTATCAAACTACTACAAGAATTAAATTCTGAATATTTATTATTTAATTAGCAATTGACTAATTAGTCCTTTCGCATTAGGCCTAGTTCAGACTAGGTGGATAAACCCGGCTCAACTCACCGGGTTTATCCACCTGCCAGTCTGAACTAGGTGGCTTATCTCAAGTGTTTAACTTTTCTAAGCCGGGCTTTAATCGTTGCGGGGGGTCTTGCATTGACTTCAGGTGACGAAATGACCAATCAGCATTCAATTACGTACACTGTAAGCGAGCGTAAGTTTCACGAGAGCAATGTTTTGAAACACGTTTCCTGGTTATGGTTCATTGTCATGCAAATTCTAAACTCGCTAGTCTGAATGCCCGGCAAAGTTACGCCGGCTTAACTCAAGCCTGGCTTATTTCCAAGTCTGAGCGTAGCCGGAGTCTTTTCATTATCATTAATTTGTATATCTTCCAAACAGGTGTGTGCAAACTCTACAGCGAACAGAGGGCGCTACGTGTCAAGAAAGTTGTAGACAAAAAAAGAATGTATGTTAAATATTGGTTTTTTTCATATATATTCAATTTATTTAATTTGTGTTCATCAAATTTAAATTTTTTTTTTAATAATCCAAGATATATTTATACAGTTTTCCTCTTGCATTTTAGTTATGTAAAATTATAGAATAAAGTTGTTACATAGTATAAATAAGTTCAAAGCAATTGCCTATTAGCATCCAGCTTACATTCATCAACTAATACATGTTTAATGTTCCTTGAGTTTCCTCAGATCATCTGATCATTTTTGCTTTACCCACCCCCACACAACTTCCAGAACTATTTTGGTTTGTCATTTGGCACCACAGCACCAAGACACTCAAATTCACTACCTGCAATCGCTAAATATTTTTCCTATATTGCTTGATTAAATAAATTGCTCTCTTTCGCTGATTTTGTATACACCCCCCTAAAATGACGCTTTATGAACTTATATACTATTACTGGCATTTGATAATATATCTAGTTCTGTGTATATTATTTTAATTATTAAAATTAAGTATTTAATGCAACATATAATACATGTGTACTTGCTGTTATGTTTTTAGATCTCGGTTGGAATCTCTCAAGCTGAAAAACAGTAAAGCAAATTTCACTTCATCATTTGATTCTAGAAACAAATTAACAAGCTCTAAAGCAGGTTTGTTTTATTATGCTTTATTTTTACTCAACCAATAGTAACATTGATTTTATTAAAAATAATAATTGTTTGAAGGTTTGCAGGGCGAAGTAATAACGTATATGTTGAAGCTTGCGGTACACCACATAGGTAAGTTCTGAAAAGAACTGTTGTAGTTGAGAAAGTCTCGACATTTCGATTGAGTTGCTTCAATCGTCTTCAGAAGAATAATATCTGAATATCTCCTGAAGACGATTGAAGCAACTCAATTGAAACGTCGAGACTTTCTTTTCAGAACTACCTACGTGGTGTACCGCAAGCTTCAACATAAATAATAATAATAATAATAATAATAATAAAAATAATAAATGATAATAATAATAATGTCATCTTATAAGGTGGATATTATTATTATTGTAGCAGTACAGTAATATTATTATGGGAGTGATGTTTTGTTCTACTTGATGTGTTATCGTACCGAATACTATATTTTCCTGATGCAAACTTGAAACATCGAATAGCATTTGCAGTACCCACTGCTACTTGAGGATCGGATTCAACACTAGTCACTAAGCACAAGCTTGGTAGTCTAGTGGTTATGGCACCAGACAACAGTAGTTACCTGGAGGTTGTGTTCGATTCCCACCCGAATCACTTGCAAATTTTGTTCGCAAGTATTTTGGAACGTATACTGAGTATTGAGTACAATAACACGTCATGTAGGACAAAACCTCACTCCTATGATATTTTCCTGACAAAAAAACTTGTATTGAAGTAGTAATACTGTATTATTCTTATTACTGTACTATAATTATGTTTCAGAGTCAGCGAATGAAGTAAATGAAGATTATTCAGAAAGTGGGCTATCTCCTGAAGAAATTGAGATGGTAGAGTGATTTTGTAATTTCTACTATATTATTTCTTATTTTTTTTTTTTTTCCCTTGATGCTTGCACCTTAAGTAATAAGCAGGAGGGGGTTAACACTACAATCAGTTGTTGTGCTTTTAATTGTGAATTTTTACATGAAAAATGCTAGATATATGCCAAAATTGTTTATCAAAGCAATACCACTTGTAAATAGTGTGTACAAATGCTATAATTATACTAATGAAATTTTCAGTTAAAGACTTCAAATTCCTTTGTGAGCATACTAATCAAAGATGTTAAAACTACCTGTCAGTGATCTTTCGGTCATGATTGACATATTGACAGTTATTATTATTAATATATTATATTATTGTTATTCATCTGAAATTTTATAATATTTATATTTTGTTTCCAGTTTCAGCAAGAAAACCAGATGATGCTACAGGAGAGGAATAACCTAGATGAAGTCAGGTAAGTATCATCGTACATCCAAGTTTCTTGCCTAGCAATAACAATCTGCCTCCTTTTTTTTTTCTCCTACCTTTAAAAATGATTAATTGAGGGAGGAATGGATTTTTGGATTATTTGATATGAAGTACTTTATAACCTACAAAAGTCTGAAGACTTATTTCCAGTGGGGGGGGGGGGGCGTCCTTCTGGTGGTGAATTATGTAGTACTCCGGGAGACAATCCTCTGATGTTTTTCCAAAGAGTGCGTAGCATTCTTTAACATGCACACAGGCCATATTGCACACCACACCAACAACTTAAATGTCTCATCTGAAAAATGGTGTGCTATTGCAACTTACATTTCAGACCAGCTGAAACACCAGGAGAGGATTGATTCAGTGACCAAATGTCTGAAAGGATCTCCAAAGTTTAGCACACACATTGGCTACTATCAGTATCAGTACAGCCAACTAAGCTTAGGCTATATTTACTTAATACAGTATGGGTCATTTTTTTGTTTCAAATACGTTTCAACTCTTTTTTTTTTTCAGGGAGCTTGAATCAAAAGTTGTGGATATTGCAGCATTGCAAACAGTTTTTATGGATGAGGTTGTTAAACAGGTAAATTATTATTTCATGATTCATAAATTACATGCTTCTGACTTCACAACATTACACAATACCCCTTCATAACTGAGCTCCACTACACAAGCGGTAGATACAGTTGAGTTCCTGCACAGCAATTTCAATATTTTTGTAACTGACGTATGTTTATAACCTAAAGCTTTGTCCATGCTATCAAATTTTCTTTGACAAAAAAAACCTGTTGCATGCCCATATATAGTCATGATGTGCCTATATATGGTCATGATGTGATGTCATCATGACCATATTTAGGCATGTCACATGTTTTTGTCAAATCAAATTTGATAGTCTGCACAGGGCTTTAATTTTATGACACTGTATGTTGTACATTTACAATTAAATATTCATCAGATAATAAATACACAGTGAGCAATATAGGTGTTGATACACAAATTTTAAAAAATCTATAAACTAATATTAAAGCATTGTTGGGAATTTAATAATTAAATTTAACTTTATTCAAACATTTTATATGGATGCAAAGAGCTGAATTGTATTAAATTAGTCTCTTATACACATCTCTTGAGGATCAGATTCAACACTAGTCACTAATCCCAAGTTCAGAAGTCTAGTGGTAATGGCGCCAGACTACAGTAGTTATCTGGAGGTTGTGTTCGATTCCCCCCGAATCACTTGCAAATTTTGTTCGCAAGTATTTTGGAACGTATACCGAGTATTCAGTGCAATAACACGTCATGTAGGACAAAACCTCACTCCTATGATATTTTCCTGACAAAAAAACTTGTATTGAAGTGGTAATACTGT